TAATTACTGAATCTAAGGTGACAAGTGACCTCGAAGAACAGAGAATAGAACTTGAACTTATCGTTTCTTTCAAAAATTACCTAGTATTTCTTGTGATTTCATCTTTGTTTTCTTAAAATCAAATTTTTTGGCCCATCATTTTTTTTTTGAAGGAACTAAGAAAAGGATCGAAAAGAATGTGCTTACTTTTTGTTACCAAAAATTATCCCGAATTTAGAGTCTACATTAAAGGCTTAAAGTTGTTGTACTGTCATAATAAATCTTGTTTGTATATTGCAAATTTTTGATTTTTTTTTTATTTATGAACAAAGCCTGAGATCTCAGAATTTACTCAAAATGGATATATATGGTGGAGATTAATTGATAAAGTGTGGGGTCTACAAGTAAAATGAATTTAAACCATTAATTACTATTTTTAGGTAAATTCTAATACATAATTATGAATTTGTAGTATTGCTGTTTTTTTAAAGGTTTGTGTTTAGATAGGAGAAAGTATGTACACCCAGAAAAAAATGATTAGAAAATTATTAAGAATGCAAATCTAAAGTGTGTAAAATTCTTCTCCTTGTGAAGCAATACTATGAATGAAACTTGGTTTGAAATTATAAATTATTTGGACAAATTATACGAGTGGTCCTTATATTTTGCTAAAATAATACCAAATTTAAAATTAAAAGTTAAAATCAATATAATTAAAATTATAAAAATCAAAATAATACCAAAAAATACCAAAATACAAAAACTACTTAAGCTTTTCAACATTGTTTTACATTGTTCTGTCTCTTTTATCTCTCTCTTATGCCGTTGTAATCCATAGTATTGGTGTGAATTAATAATGCACAAATGTGTAACGTATTCATGCTTTTACACCAAAAAATGAAACTGATGGAATGTATTTTTGGCAGTGATGTGAGTTCTTTTCTTTTTTTTCTTATTATTATTATTATTATTTTAAAGTTATAATAATGATCATAGTATTATATTATACAGCACTGATTCAGTGCTCTAATTTTGAAGCAATAATGCCACATTTGGACATGATGAGCGACATCTATTGAGTTTTAATTTATCAAATATAGATAGATTTAATTTATGACATTTAGTTTATTATTAGTTTTTTTAGCATATATATGTTTTAGACATTAGGTTTATTGAGAAACATCTTATTTATTGTTAATATATATTATTTCATTAGTTAGAAATCAAGTTTATTGTTTTAAGAAAAACAACTCAATTGGATGATTTAAATATTTTATGAATATTTGCTTTGAAATATTGTCTTCACTTAAGAAATTTGAAAAGATGATCTCTATGCATTATGATTATAATTTTCTGAGTAAATTTAAAAATTAATGCGTTATTAAAAAATTTACATATTATTAAACCAATCTCGTGCATAGCACGGATTTACCACTAGTAATATATATACGACAAGAAAAATGCACTAATTAGTGCTCCCACTAATTAGGTGGCAGTGGGTCCCACCATTAATGATGTGATGTTTTGGTTTTGGAGTTGTATTTTTATTTATTTTTTTTATTTTTTTAAATATTAATACTATTAATGATGATATTTTTAATGGAATAAATCATTGTTGATACGGCAATGGGGTTGTGGATTGAATCTTACCATTTGATGGGGATTCATCCATTACGATAATTGAACTGGCGTGCATTGCACGCCTTAAATTATTTTCTTTCAAAATAATGGGTCAACTTTGCTGGATTGAATCTTACAATTTGATGTCAATTCATCCATTATGATAATTCAACTAGCATTGACCGTGCATCGCACGGCTTAAAATTTTTCTTTTTTCAAAACAATATTAATTTTATTATTACATAAAAATAGAACTTAAATAAATATATAATGATTACGTGTACATATGTATAAAATTATTTAAAAAAATATTTTGTGAAATATGCAGTGCAATCTTTGTATAATTGTGTGTTTTAAATATATATATATATGATATTTTTGTATTAAATTATAACATAGTAAAATAAATACTCACTTTAATATTAGAAATAATGATTAAGTTAGAGGAATAAATAGTAATTTAAAATTAAAGAGTTATTCTAATTATTTATTTTGATAATCTTAGGTCCCATGATTTTATAAAAAGTGCTACTTAAATAAATATATATAACAATTTTAGTTACATTATTTATGTGTATTTTGATAATCTTAATCCTATTATGCTATGAAATGTGATTTAAATAAATATATATAATAATTTTATACGATATTAAATTATAACATAATAAAATAACTCATTTTTTTATTCATTTGGGAAATAAAAATATGTAGAAATAGAATTTATACATAATTTATTTTAAAAGATTAAATATAAGAATATCATGGTATAATTAAGAAAGAAATAGATAGATTAATTATGTAGTGTATTTATTTTTATTTAGCATTATATAAATTTTAAATTAAATATAAATATTTGTAATAAAAAAACTTCACGTTAAATATTAAATTAAATATAAATTAGTTTTAAAATATAAATAAATTAGATAAAAATATAAAAAAAACCTTAGGATTTAATTTTAAAACAAAATTGAATACTTCAATAAAAAAATTTCAGACCGCTCAAACTTTGGTGGGAGAACAGTAACATGCTCTAGATGTCAAGCAATGATGTGGATGGAGGAAAAAGTAAGAGATAGTCCATTGAGTCGACCAAAATTTAGTCTATGTTGTCAAAGTGGACAAGTGATGTTGCCTTTATTGCCAGAAACTCCTGAATTTTTACAACAACAGTTTACTCATGTGAGATTCAAGGAACACATAAGGACATATAACTCCCTATTATCCTTCACGTCCATGGGTGGGAAAATTGATCAGTTAGTGTTAGATGGAAGGGGTCCCTATGTTTTTCGTATTAATGGAGCAAATTTTCATAAAATTGGTTCTCTACTACTGGAACCTGGAAAAGGCCTAAATTTGCACAACTCTATATTTATGACACTGAGCATGAAATTCGCAATAGAATGGATGCTATGAATAAGTGTGGTGGCACATCGGGAATTGATACGTCCACATTAGAAGGTTTATAGTCAATGTTGAATGTCATCAATCCATATGTTTCAATTTTTCGCACTGCTCGAGACATGATTCGTGAGAATGGTGCTCAAGAATTGCACATTCGCATTTTGAGTTCGAGGGATAGAAGACAGTACACTAGACCCACTACAACTGAAATTGTTGCATTAATTGTTGGTGATGGGTCTGAAAGCACTACAAATCGTGACATAATTGTTAGAAAATTAGATGGACATTTACAAAGGATTAATGAAACACATCCTTCATACATGCCACTTCAATATCCATTACTTTTTCCCTATGGGACTGATGGATGGAGAAGGTCTATAAGTTTTACTCTGGGTACAAACAACAAACAAGAAGGAGTGTCAATGAGAGAGTTTTATGCATTTAGACTTCAATTTCGAGTTGGAGAAGGGAAAACGCTATTGCAAGGGGGACGTTTGTTCCAACAATTTGTTGTTGATTGTTATGCAGCTATTGAGCAAGATAGACTAAACTTCATTAGGCATAAACAGAATGTGTTGCGGACTGATTTGTACAGAGGTTTAGAAGATGCTGTGACAGCGGGTGATAGTGATGCATCAGCCATTGGTAGGAGATTTAGACTGCCATCATCTTTTATAGGCGGCCCACGAAATATGGTTTAGCATTACCAAGATGCGATCGCAATATGTCGAAAGATGGGATTTCCTGACCTTTTTGTCACATTCACATGTAACCCAAATTGGTTAGAAATTCAACAGGAGGTAGAGCACATTCCAAATCGACGCACAGAGGATATACCGGATATACTTGTGAGAGTTTTTCGAATTAAATTGAAACAACTGATGGCATATTTCAAGAACCGAAAATTCTTTGGCAAAATAATTGCAAGTTTGTTTTTATTTGAACTGGTCAATTAGATTTGTTAAATTTAGTTTAAAGTTAACAAATAATATTATTTTTTCTTGAATAGATATTCATGTCATCGAATTTCAAAAGCAAGGGTTACCGTATTCGCACATTATCTTGACATTATTAGCAGATGACAAGATAAAATCGCCAGAGGAAATTGATGATATAATTTGTGCTGAAATTCCTGATAAGGATGAAGATCCATTAGCATTTCAAACAGTGATGAGGTGCATGATACATGGTCCCTGTGGCAGTGCTAATCCTAATGCCCCATGTATGGTGAATGGAAAATGTTCAAAACATTATCTGAAGAATTTTTGCAGTGAAACGAGTATTGATGAAAATGGATTTGCTATCTATAGGCGAAGGGATACAAAGAAAAAATACATGGTTAATGGATTTGAAATTGACAACAGATGGGTTATTCCATACAACCGTGATCTTATTGTATTGTATGATGCCCATATCAATATTGAGCGTTGTGCACACAGTAAATTGATCAAGTACTTATATAAGTACATACATAAAGGTCCTGATCGTGCAACGGTTGTAATTGAAGATAATGTTAATCGACTTAACATTGATGGACAAAGTCTGTATAGAGAGGCTGATGAGGTAAAACAATACTTAGATTGTCGATATATCTCCGCAATTGAATGTTGCTGGCGTATATTTGAGTTTGAATTGCAAAAGCAATACCCTTCAGTTGAACGGTTGCAGTACCATCTACCTGGGGAACAATCTATTCTATTTAGAGACACAGATAACATTCCATCAATTATTAATCAGTTGGGGGTTCACGAGACAATGTTTACAATGTGGTTTCAAGCAAACAGAGATCATGTAGAGGCGAATACATTAACATATGAAGAGTTTCCTAGCTCATGGGTTTGGAACCAGAAACAGAAGAAGTGGAAAATAAGGCAACAACAAATATGCATAGGTAGATTGTATTATGCACATCTTAATTCTGGTGAACGATATTATTTACGTATGCTGCTTACCAAGATTCGAGGTGCAAAATATTATGAAGATATTAGAACCGTTAATGGCATTGTGCACCCAACATTTAAATCTGCATGCCTTGCACTTGGCTTACTTGACGATGATAATGAATGGGACGCAGCTTTAACAGAAGCCTCAACATGGGCATCAGGTGCTCAACTGCGAAATATGTTTTGCTCAATGCTAATGTTTTCTGAGGTTACAATTGCATATGAATTGTGGGAGAATCATTGGTTTGACCTTACTGATGATTTACAAAATAGGGTACAAAGGCAAATTGGGGATGGCAATATAAGTCTCGAAGAATGTGAATTGAAAAATTTAGGATTGCTTGAAATTGAACACATACTAAATCAGAATGAAAGGTCTCTTAAAGAGTTTCCTTCGATGCCACTACCATCATATCGATTAGGTCAAATGGTTACTAATAGGCTCATAAGGGAGGAATTGAACTACGATAGCATTTTAGAAATGCAATCTTTTGAATCTTTATATGTGGGATTGAATGATGACCAATTGAAAGTGTTTAACACCATAATGAAAGCTTATTCCACTCATCATGAGGGATTATTTTTTGTGTATGGTAGTGGAGGAACTGGAAAGACATATTTATGGAGCACTTTAATTGCAAAATTTTGATCCGATAAGAAGATCATTCTTTTTGTTGCATCATCAGGTATTGCAGCTTTGCTCTTACCCGGGGGACGAACTGCCCATTCCCGTTTCTAGATTCCACTTGACCCTGATAACTTATCATGTTGTTCAATAAATCAAGGGACAGATTTGGCAAGGTTAATTCAAGAGGCGTCGTTAATTATATAGGATGAAGCACCAATGGTTAGTCGTCATGCTTTTGAAGCTGTTGATCGTACATTTGGGGACATATTGAAAAATACAGAACATTGTTCAGAGGATAGGGTTTTTGGTGGAAAACTATTTGTGCTTGGTGGTGACTTTAGACAAATATTGCCTGTCGTACCTAGAGGTGGGCGTGAACAAACAGTGGAAGCTTCATTACCTAAGTCAACAATTTGGGAGCATTGTCAAGTTTTGCATCTTACCAGAAATATGCGTGTTACAGCACAAGATATTTCTAATCATACGCGTCATGAATTATGTGACTTTGCAAAGTGGATTAAATTGGTTGGTGAAGGGAAAATAATGGGAAGTTTATTTAGTGAAGGCTATGAACCTAATTGGATGTAGATACCAGAAAAATTTGTTATAAAAAATGAAGAAAGAGATTTGCACCAGTTAATCGATACCACCTATCCTGATTTCATAAATAACTATCAAGATATGTCGTACTTAAAAGAACGAGGCATTTTAGCTCCTAAAAATAGTGATGTTGATGAAATCAATTCTATTATGCTTTCGATGCTTCCTATAGAGATGAAAACTTTTAACAGTGCCGATAAATTGTGTCCAACAGAAAGTGAGAGCAATGTTCAAGACATGAACCCTCCTGAACTTTTGCATTCTTTGAATTTACCAAGACTTCCAAATCATTGTTTGCAGTTGAAAGTTGGAACACTAATAATGCTTCTAAGAAATGTCAACCAATCTTTGGGATTATGCAATGGCACTCGATTAATTGTTGATAAGATGGGAAATCGAGTAATTGAAGCTAGAGTTATTACAGGGTCTAGAGTTGGTGAGAAAGTACTACTTTCACGTATTGTTTTAACACCTTCCAAAAATCATACTCCTTTTACAATGAAAGGAAGGCAATTTCCAATAAAGTTGGCATTCGCTATGACAATAAATAAGAGTCAAGGGCAAACTTTGAAGAATGTGGGCCTTTATCTTCCGAATCCAGTCTTCTCTCATGGCCAGCTGTATGTAGCTCTATCACGTGTCACCTCCCCATCAGGCTTAAAGGTGTTGATTGTTAATAAACAAGGCATACCGGATGATGTCACCAAAAATGTAGTTTACATAGAAGTTTTTAGTGGCATTGATCAATAATTTTGTTCAAGAGTTTCAAATGTGTTTCATTTTCCTAGAAACAATTGTTTTATTATTTCTCTTCATATATTGATTGTTTAAAATAAGTAATTTCATACATGAAAACATATGTTGCATTTGAAATTTACAAGTTCATATTTAATTTAATTGTCGGTACATATACTATGTTTAATTCATACAATTATTTTATTTTATAATTAAGTACCCTTCTTTTTTTAATCATTATAAATTTTACTCAAATAATAATTAATGTGGTTTATTATTAAAAACAACTTGACTAACATTATGTAATTGTATGTTAAATGTGTTAAATTCATTGTGCAGATAAATATGCGGCCTCCTCTAAATTTGCGCCGTAGTGATCGTTTGGTGATGCAAAATGCCATAAATGAATTTGAAACTGTACCACATAAAGAGCGTTTACGGGTAGAGAATTTTGTTGATTGGAAAATCAAAATATGCCGAGCAATGCAAAAATTAGGAAAAAAAATAAGTGAAAAAAAATTGGTGGCAACAATATTAGACCTTTTACCATCGAGCTGGAATAAAGTAAAGGAAACAATTTTTCAAAAGCATGAAATCAAAGATGCCTCAGACTTGATGGATGCTTTAATGGAGGAGGAGCGTGATGTTCATCCTTTATGGATTGAACTTGAGCAAGCCCGGATGACTCCAAATTTAACGGTACGAGAGCATATGTTACATAAAGCGCAAGTGTTTTATAAGCTTAGGAAAAAAGGTTTCCAGCCCCACATTGCAATATTAGTTCATGCTATAGTTAACGCACTTCCAACTTCATGGCCTATTCAAGAAATTCATAAAAAAATTAAAAAAGACTTTCCAGACATGAGAGCATTAATAGTTATGTTGGAGGAAATTGAAAATGATATGATTTGTTTGCAAGCATTGGATGAAGTGGAGCAACGCATTGGTAATGAAAATATTAAAGTGGGAGAACAGCAGCAACAACAGCAACAACAAAATAATGGTGTTGAAGAGAATGAAGTGAAGCAACAACCCAAAAATGAGGACAATTAAATCATCACTCTTCATAAGGTAATATTGTTGGAAAATGGTTTTATATAGGCATAATTTTGAGCCCATTTTTGGGTGGACCCCAAACGTCTTTTGGGGTGGGTCCGAAGAGGTGAAGTGGTGAAGACAGAACGTCAAAAACCATTTATGAGTGAATGGGTAGTTGACGTCGTTTTCGGGTTTAACATTAATTTTTTAGATAAAATTCTTTTGAATTTTTTCAATAAAAATTATTGTGGGAATTTAATTTAATTCTAAATTCAAATTTTGAATTCCTAAGTGGTTTCTTAAGATGTGTAATTTTAGAATTTAATTTAATTCTAAATTTAAATTTTTAGGTTCCTTAAATGTTTCCTAAAAGTTTGTACCTCTTTATTTATTTATTTATTTAACTATTTCATTAGTTATATATATTTTTATATATTTGAAATAGATTAAATAAAGTTAAGTTGCCTCAGTTTCTTTATTTGTCCACTAACGGACAAATCACTATTTGAATATTGAGGTTCATTTTTCAAACGCTGGGTATTTGTTTAAAATGTTGCACCTGTTCGGCTTGAGTTTCAGGTGTGTTTCACACCGGTTCGGCCTTATTTATATTCAACCTGTCCAATAGTTTTCAACCTGGGGAAAAATTCAGTCTGTTTATGGTCCTTTTGCTGTCCAAAAAAAAAAAAATACTGCATTTGTTTTTATTCTTCATTTATAATTTTAGGAAAAATATTCAGAGAGTTAGAACACAGGTTTGGTTCGCCGAACAAGTTGTTTGGAGTACTACTACAATTTGTGAAGATCATTGTATCCTGGGAGATAGACGCCACTCAACCGTAAGTACCATAGCGGGGCGAATCTGTCTTAAGGACAGAGTGTCACACACTCGACTTGGTCTTGTAATTTTTATTTGGTTCGACAAAATAAATCCGGTATGTTATTTATTTATTTTGTTTGAATTTATTTCTAGTTATTTTATTTACACAGAAGATTGTTCCAACAATCTTAAGACAGATTCGAATTATTCTGTTTACAGAATTTTTCGTTTGTTTGTTCCGGCTTTTTCACATCTGCGTAAGATAATTCCGGAAGAAAAGACTTATTTTTCCTGTGAATTTACAAAATAATATTCTGGTTGGAAAACAAATAGATGGATTATATGCTATTGTGACAGATAGTAAAGTAATAAATACTGTGCGTCTTTTCTTTGACAACAAAATAGTAGTACGATTACTAGGGTGTCCAATTTAACCAATTCAGAATATATTTTTGTGGAATTTAGTCAGTAAAAACAAAAGAAAAAAAAATCTAATTTTTGGTTTTTAGAAATTATTTTCGTGAGTTTTTCTTTATTAAAATTCTGTTTCAAGTATTTTAATTTATTGAAGTGTTACAGGAATTTAATTTTCTGTGTGGAATTAATATGGTTAAATAAATTTTATTTTATGTTCCAAATTAAATTGAAAAAAAATAAAAAGTTATAGTTTTTATTTCTTTTATTTTTAACAGAATTTAAATTTCTTTTGTGTGGCAATTATTTTGGTTAAAATAAAAATCTTTAATTTTATTTCGCAAATTAATTTGATAAATACAAAGTTATAGTTTTTATTTATTGTTATTTTACAGAAATTTAATATTCTGTGTTGGTAATTAATTTGTTGTAAAATAAAATTTTATTTTATTTTCAAAATTTAATTGGAAAATAAAAAGTTACATTCTTTGTTTCTTTTATTTTTTAAAGCGGAGTTTAAATTGCCGTGGTGAATTTGGTTTAATTTCTGTTGGTAGTGTAAATTCTAATTAATAATTTTGTTTATATATTAGGAATTGATGGCTACTGAACAGAATGCCAAAACAGTACTACTATGGTGGCTGCAATGAACGCCAACGCCCTCTTGCCTGTTGTAGACAGTACTGAGTTAAATCAACGGTGAAAAGGCTAGAGAAGTTCTTAGGAAGCTGACTTTAAAAACGAATGGCAACAGAAAATGTTGTTTTTATCTTACAACTGCTGAAACGCTGCGCTCGTTTTCCTTCGTGAAGATGCTCCTATCGCCTGAAAGAGGATGAAACCGACGGCGGCCAGAGGTGGCTTGCTGCGGTTGATGCTTGGAAACATGCCCGATTTCGCTTTGTCGGTCAATTACGTGGCTTGAAGTCGGACTTGAACAATACATTATACAGATGTCTATAGTCCAAACAAAACAGCAAAAGGAACTTGGGAATCGTTCGGAGAAAAGTACAAAACGGGAAGATGCCGGCTGCAAAAGAAATTTGTGGTTGGCAGATTCTTTAGATTTGTGTAATGGTTTTGATTCAAAAACTATGACATCAGTCCAAGCTCAAGATTTCGCACTCATTCTGCCATGACAATTCACAAGAAGGTATGTGCTCTTAGTGAATGCCTTATCAAGTTTGCAGCCTTAATTGAAAATTACAAAAAGGCTGGAAGGAATTCAAGAACTAACCCTCAACATAAGTGCGACAAGAAAATTTCTATGGATGAAGAGTTAATTTGTGCGTTCTGGAGGATTGAGGGAGGATAACCGCAAGTTTGCTGAAAAG